GAGGGAGAGAGGGAGAGAGGGAGAGAGGGAGAGAGGGAGAGAGGGAGAGAGGGAGGGAGGGAGGGAGGGAGAGAGGGAGGGAGGGAGGGAGGGAGAGAGAGGAGAGAATTACTTTAGATGGGAGTCAGGGACAGCTTCTCTGAGAAGGCGACAGGCTAAGAGTTGAAGGATAGAGATGCAGCCTCTCAGAATCCACAAAGAACATTCCAGTGGAGGAAGAAGCGTGTGCAGAGACTCTGAGGCAGGACAGACATAGGAATGGAGCAGGAAGAATGCACACCGGAGGGGAGAGAATGGTGGGAAGAGTGGCTGGAGACATGGCTGACGTGGCACAGGCTGGACGGACGTCATACAGGCTTTCATGATCTTGACTCACAGTAACCGTGTGTTTCAGTCTAACTCTGTACACGTACATACGTAAATACACGTACACATACACAGATTCATAACAGAAGCCAAAGTTTCACGGAACAATACTTACCCTACTCTATGTGATGTACTGTTATTTTCTGTTCTATTCTGACCAACTTTAACAAAAGAAAAATTCTGTTTGCAACCCACTGGATTGATTTCGCTAATGGGTCACAGCCTGCAGTCTGAAAAACATAAGGGCTCAGGGTCATGGCATAAAGAACGGATTTTATTTTAGTGAATAGGAAGCTTTAATTTTCTTATTTATTTATTTATTTATTTTTTGGCCACACTGCACGGCATGCGGGATCTTAATTCCCCGACCAGGGATCGAACCTGTGCTCCCTGCAGTGGAAACGCAGAGTCTTAACCACTGGACTGGCAGGGAAGTCCCAGGAAGCTTCCAGGAAGCTTCTAATTTTAGAGAAGTCTGAGGTGATTGGATTTATGCTTTAAGATCACTTTGTTGCTGCGTGAAAAAGACGGTGGCGGGGGAGCGGAGGGGTGGGCAGAGTAGGAACAGGGAGGCCGATCAGGGGGCTTCTGGAGGGGCCCAGATGTGAGGTGATGGTTGCCTAGACTTTGGCAGTGGGGATGAGGAAAAGTAGATGGACTCGAGTTATGTTTTGAAGATAGAACCAACAGGATTTGGTGAGCACTGGGTGACAGGTCCTCACCTGTGCAGGCGGGATCCTGTACAAAGCAGAGAGTCAGGCAGATGCGGATTCAAGCCCTGGCTTGCCGCGCACTTGCGAAGCACCTCAGGGAGACGACTCGGAGCCCTGTTAGCTTGGCGTCTGGTGGCTGTGACGTCTCAGGGACCCTCGGCCCACCCTTCCAAAGCGCTCGACTGTGACTCATGACCCAGCGGCTGGGGTTCTGACAGTGCCCTGGCTCTACGTGGTCCAGTGTGGGGAGCAGGGGCCAGCCTAGACCGCTAGCTGTGCTGCAGGAGGGGAGAGCCAAGGTGGGCTTTAGGGGCCAGGAGCTGGCGATAGGAGGCAGGAACACTCTTCATTAAAGGCTGTGTCAATCCCAGAGTAGATTTCTGGCTGAGAAAATAAGAGGTTGAAAAACTGAAGGACAGCTTTGGAGTCCCGGAGGCGCCTTGTCTGTCTCTGGGCTTGGTGCAGCCTGGTTTCCAGATCTTCAGCGTCATCTTCATAACTATCACCCTCATTCATCTTAGTCAACGTTTACTGTACTCTGCTCTGTGCCAGACGCTTAGTGAATGGCTTTCTGTGCGTGAAATCAAAGGTGTTTTCTACTTCCCCTTAGTGGCAGGACAATGGAAATCCAACCCTTGACACGGATTTCTGGGGCTTGGCAGTCCCTAATCCTCTTCTTAAGAGGACCTGGGTGGGATGGGATGGGGGCAGCACCCACGTCAGCCTCCAGGGCTTTAAAGTAGAAATGCTTAGACTTTGGAGTTGGAGAGACCTGCTTAAAAGCCCTGGCTCTGCCACTCACTAGGTGTGTTGACTTTGAATGATCACTTCACCCTTTTTGAGTTGTAGTTTTTCTAATCTATGAAATACAGAGAATAACACTCCCACTGTAGTGTGAAGATTAAGTGATGACATTGTACAGCCTGTCATTGTGCCGGGTACACAGTAGGTGTGGAACATGCCTTGGTCTCCTTTTCTGATCTGAATTCCCAGGCCCGAGTTCTGAGGACTCCCATTCCACGCTCACGTGCACCTGATCCTTAAGCATCTCTGTCATCTAACGCAGGGGTCCCTAACCTATGGCCCACGGGCCAAACTTGGCTCACCACCTGCTTTAGTAAATAAAGCTTCATTGGAGCACAGCCCACTTTTTAATGTATTATTCATGGCTATTTACATTGGCAAGGTTGAGTAGAAGTGGAATGGCCTGCAAAGCCTAACATATTTACTAATTCGCCCTTTAAGAAAAAAGTTTGCTGCAAATTTAGTGTTTGCAAAGATCATTGTATGTATTCCCTCAGTTGACACAGACAAGGCAACGCCTATTAGCTCCATTTTAGAGATGAGGAAACTGAGGCTCAAAGTAGTTGTGATTTAAACAAGGTCATGGGGTGGTGGGGTGCTGGTGGTGGAAGGAGGGCCTGTATCTCATTCCCAGGCCAGTGCTTGCTATGCCCCATGCTGCCTCAGGGGGCTTTGAGTGTTTCCAATGAGAAAGCCAGTTCACACATTAGCTGGCTCTGTCTCCCTTGGGATTGGTTGCACGTGGGAAAAAGCTGGCTACAGGCGCAGCAACAGCTGAGTAGCTCAGTGTATGAAAAATGCCCAAGATCTGGCCAGTTGAGGACTTACCTCTTTAATGACTGCTACTCTACTAAACGGCAGTCTTCACTAGAAGAAAGACCATGCCTGTTCACTGCTGTATGTTAGAGCCTGGCACCCTCAGATGCTCACAACATGTTTACTGAATAAACTGAGTTAATTAGCATCCTGACAATGATAAAATCCTCACCCCCATCCTCTCCGACTGCTTTAAAAGAATCACCTTTCCTCCGGGGAGAAATCCCTGCTCTGGCTATCACCCCCCCCACACGTGCGATTACGCACACACCTGGCACATGTCCTTTATTCTCTCCAACCTCACCAAGCTTCTAGGCCCACCCCGTCGCTCCAGTCCTACAGCACCACTGGCTCAGGCCCTCACCGTCTGAAGCGTGGATTGCTCAGCCACCTCCTCACTGGCTTCCTGCCTCCACCCTCTGCCCTTCCAGAGCATTCTCTGCACTGCACAGATCTGATCAAATCATTCCTCATGTTCACTCTTCATCAGGCCCCCAGTGACTGTGGATGCGAGCCCTGCACGACCAGGTCCCAGCCGACCCCTCCGGCTTCTTCTCCCTATCCACCCATGACCCAGCCATACTGAGCTACCTGCAGTGTGATGATGCCCTGCCTTCTCCATCACCACACCTTTGCCCATGCCGCATTCCCTGCCTGGGAAGCCCTTCCTCCCCTGGCTGTACTTCTACTGTCTTCCAGACCCAGTTCAAGCATCACTTCTCTGAGAAGCCTTTCCTAATGCTTCCCAAGATAGGGAACTCTTGCCTTTGTGTTCATCCTGTGATTACACCACTCATTACACTGCACTGTATTAAGTGCTCTTTTCCCACTCCCAGCCAAGAGCACTTTGAGGGCAGAGACTGTGTCTGACCCACGTTGTGTGCCCGTCACTCTGCACGGGGGCTGGCCCGAAGCACCAGTCAGTATCCAGTGAATCCTTACACATCTCAATTTGCTCACCTGGCTGTGCTCGTTCACTGCCAGGGGACTTTCGGAGAGGGTGGGGCCGTTCTTGGCACTTCCCTGATCTCAGAGAAGGAAAGAACTTCTAGTAGACTCCTGGTGCTGTCTTCTCTCGCCTGGTACATTTTTCTTTCTAGAACTGCTCCTTCCTAACCTCTGGGGCTGTCGACCACAAGGCCTCACTCTCTGTACCACAGAGGTTGGCAAGAGACTCAGCCAGGGCAATTGGAGTGGCCTAAGCCCACCCGCTAGTGATAGGTTCATGGATGGGCAAGGATCCAGACAGGGCTGGTCAGAGCCCTTCTGGGGGATGGATATGGTTGTATTGGACACATTGTAGAGGACATGCTTCTTCGTTTGCTCTCAGGATGATGTAAACCTCAGGCTGCTGGTGGCCATCTATGAAAGGTATATATCAGAGTGGGTCTGAATCTTACCTCCACCACTTATTGGCTGGGTGACCTTGGACAAATTGCTTAATCCTTTACATTTACTGTAGTCTCATCTGCATAATGGGAATGATAACAGTATCTACATCATGTTGTGGGAATGACTGAGTAAATATAGGTAAAGTGCTTACAACAGTGCCTGGTACAAAGGGAGTGGTCAATATTTGTTGCTATTCCTATATCACTGTGTGGGGAGATCCCATTGGAGAGCTAATGAGAATAAGAGAAAGAGGTCTCATAGCATTGGTGTTTCTGGATCCAGCTGTGCCTGAAGCCTTCCATCTCTTGCACTTCCCAGTTCCACAAACCAATTAACTTCTTTTCTGATAAAACAAGTTTGAGTTGACTCTCTGCAAGTTATAACCCAAAGGGTCCTCCCATTGGAGTGTAGCGGGAAAAACGGAGGAGACAAGAGTCCAAGGGGCTCTCCTTTTAGTTAGCTGTTTGCATTTGGACAAGGGCTTCTTCTTAGGTTTCAGGTCCTCGTATGTCCAATGGGGTGGATGTCAGCCCTGCTTCCCTCTTGTGGCTCCCGTCAGGATCCATCTGTATAATGTTTGTGCCTCAAAAACGACCAAGTACGAAAACACAAATCTCACCAAAGACTCTTGACCACATGTCACAGAAAACCCTAACTCTCAACTCTCAGCATGGCTTCCGCAGGGCCTTCCCCAGGCGGCCCCACCTGCTCTGTAACCTCCCCTTCACTTTTGCAGTCCTCTCTCACATGCTCATCCTCTGCTGTGGCTACACTGGGTTCTCCTCCATTTCCCAAACTCACCCTTGTGTCTTTGCTCATTTCGTTTCCTCTAAATGCCACAATTTGGAGCGCATCTCTACCTACCAAAATTCATCCATCAAAGGTCCCTTCCAATGAAGCCTCCTTCACGAAGCCCTGATCCTTCCTTAAGACCGTGTCTCTCTCACACAGAGTCGCCAGAAGTGCCCTCTGCTGTCTGTGAACTTGCAGCACTCCCTTTACGGGGGTTGGTGGTTTGGAGATTTCTTCAATTAGATTTTAACCTCCTGGAGGGAAGGGGCTGTCTTATTTGATTCCCCATTGCGCCCTACATTCCGTAGGGATGTAGGGATTCAGAGACTCATAGCTCCGATCAACATGCGCCCAGTGATGAGAGCAGGTGTGTCACCTCCTGAGCAAAAGAAACAGAACTGCCGCTCTCCTGGTCCAGCTTCCATCCCCACTGGAGGTGGGTATATGGACTTAATAATAAACCCTGTGCTGCTTACTTACAGAGACAACGAACGGACGTGTATCTCGCGGGTGAAATAGGATCTGAAACAACAAAAAGCTGCAGACACCTGGAGAAACTCACCCAAACCAGCGTTCGCTGGAATCACCCAGTCTCCTGGCTTCACCCTGGTCACACTGCTGCCCACTGCTACGACCTGTCCAACACCTTCATTCCCTCCAACGGCAGGCAGCTTGGGAAGGAGGCCATAATTTCCTAAGGGAGAAGAGCACAGCATCATCCAGTGAAGCCTGGGCAGTGAAAGAGCATGGACTTCGGAGTCAGACAGACCTCAGCCTGTTCTGGCCTCTGCCCCTGACCAGCTGTGTAACTAACCAACCTCTCTGAGCCCGAGCTTCTTCATCTGTAAAGGGGGATAATACTCCTCAGCTTCATGGTTATTATGAAGATTAGATAAGATAATGTAGGAAATGAGCCCGGCATATCGCACACTTCACAAGGGTTGGTTTGCTCCCCGCTGCAATCTTCCTAACTCAAAAAGCCTCACATTCCAGGCAGGGGAGGCCAGAGAGGGCTCACACGGCCTGTAGACGGCTCATCTGGAGAACAGCTGCTGCTAATCACAGGAATTTCACACCCACACCTGGGGAGGAATGAAACCGAGGTGGCGGCTAAGCAAAAAAGCCAATTAACATAAGCCACAGAAACCAAGGTTACCTTGGATCATATTAATGTCAGATGGATTGACAGGGGCTGCCAGCATCTTCACATGGACGTCTGATCCGCCCACAGCAGCCAGCTCCAGGTTCTTCAGTCTAAGCACAAAGCCAGAGAGAGATGTTCATGTCAGCCAGGCTAGCCAGGGAGTCTTTTGCTCAAATCATCTCCCCAAAGTAGGTCAGGCAGCAACATTTTTGGGCTGCCATTGTGTGCCCAGGAATTAGGGTTGTTAAGAAAGAGAGGAGCTATAAGGAATTAGTACAGGACACAGAGTAATGCTCATTAACTGCAAATGGAAAGTCCCTAGCGACCTTTCCACTCCACCACCCACTCTAGCGCAGAAAATAGCTAAAACTCCTTTGGGCATTGTTTAGTAGTGGTTAGCGATGCTAAGAATCACCTGGTATACTAATATTATGGCTTCTCAGGCCCCGGGGCTGACCTACTGAATCAGAATCTCTAGATAAGGGGCACCCCAAGTGGTGAGGGAAATAGAGATGGCCCATGGAGTTGGGAAAGAACTCCCTGGGTGACTGTGGTTCACCCCCTGGAAGGATGTCCCTTCTGGATGAGGATCTGGTCTGTCAGAAAGGATGCTGGATGGAGAGCTGCGGGCCTCAGGTGTGAAACTCCATCACAGGATGGCTGCGTCACCACAGGCAGGTTTCTTCCCTGCTCTAGGCCTTCGTTTCTCGATTTGTAAAATGGGGGTGATGCCACCCTCACCCCCACTTGCATTTGATCACTTCCAAGAGCTCTTCCCATTTCAAGCCTGTGTGGTAACTCAGAGTACTCACAGTGGGTGTGCTGTAGACATCAGAGGACTAACGTCTTTATCCACTGGAATGTTGGTTAATGGGTAAAACCTGCCCAGTGGCAATGCCCATGTGCTGCTTTTTTTTTTTTTTTTAATAAAAGGAGACCTTCCAACCAGAAAGGACTGATCAGTGTATTAGACCAATGGATCCTCATGACTTTTAATTATCAGAGATTCCTTTTCTGTCTCTCTCCATACCTCTGAGACTTCACGTTTGCACTGCTTTTCTCTGCCCAAATGTACTTGTTAATAATTCTCCTTATTTTTACTCACCAAAGGCAGATATAAAAGCCAACCAGAGGTTCTTAGCATTAGGCAACAGTGTCACTGCACTAAGCTGATGTAATTCCACCCACTTCCTGCTGAAATCTGATCTTTTAATTATACCTGAGGCTCCACTTGGGGTAAAAGTGTGATTTCTAAGAAATCGCTCGTACTAAGTAGTAATAATTGTGGCAGGCATTTGTGAGGTGTTTATTATACACCAGGTATAACACACCTGTGCTAAGGGCTTTAAACACATAATCTAAGATGTAACACCCCTGTGATGAAAGTATGACTATTCCCATTCTATCAAGCAGGAAATGAAGGCTCCTGGAGATGATGAAACTTACGCAGTGTAAGAGAATTGGTCAGGGTGGGGCTTATCCACTTTAAGAGTTGGCTCTCTTACTTACCTTGCTCTAAACCAGTACCTGAAATGAGCATGGGCATCCCTCTGACTGCCTACGAGGACCCCTGGGGACCCAACCTGGGAATCCCTGTACTGGATTATGACCAAAGTAAAGGAGGCCATGCTTTACCATGATTGAGAAACAGCTGCAAAAAATCAAAATAAAAACACTCTCTACAGAAAATGGTTAACTAGGAAGGAGTTGATGACCAGGGCAGAGAGAATACAGAAAGGGCTTTTTTTTCCCTTTTAGGTTAAGTATTAAGGAATGTATGTTTTTGTTTTTGTTTTTTGCGGTACGCAGGCCTCTCACTGTTGTGGCCTCTTCCGTTGCGGAGCACAGGCTCCGGACGCGCAGGCTCAGCGGCCATGGCTCACGGGACCAGCCACTCCGCGGCAGTGGGATCCTCCTGGGCGGGGGCACGAACCCGTGTCCCCTGCACCAGCAGGTGGACTCTCAACCACTGCGCCACCAGGGAAGCCCGGAATGTATGTATTTATACATAGCTGGAGGAGGGAGAGTCCTCGTAATAATAATAACTACTGTTTGAGTATGTACCAGTCAGGCACGCAGCTGAGTGCTTTCCGTGTGAGCTTTCATGTTATTCTGATTTTACAGCGGAGGAACAAAGGCGCAATAAAGAACTTGTTTCAGGCCACCAAAAGTCGTGAGTGGCTGATATGGTTTGAACCTGGCAGTCTGACGCTAGAGAAGCCGGCTGGTGAAGGGCTGACCCCACACCACGCAGAGGGCTGCAAGAGAAGCCTGGAGTAGTGGGCAGCCTTGACCATTGCTGGGCCTGCTTGGGGAGCTGGGGGCCAGGGGGAGGGCTCCACAGCCTCTCCACCAGGATAAGGAGGGAGGCGTCAGCCCAGACGGCACTGTTTCTCTGTGAACACATATGTAAGTCTGCCCTCCAGAGAAAAATCCTGCCCAGAGCAAATGGATTGTGGACTAGCTGCCCCTTTATATCATCTGTACTGCTTCTCTCTTGCAGTTTGACAGATAATCAGAGTTTTTCTGTAAGCTGACAAAGTCCACGTGCTCAAGCTACTTAAAGACATTTTTTTCCTGCACATTTTCTACACGCTCTTCCCTCAGCCCAGAATTCCTTTTCCACAGCTTCTCTGCAAAGTGAGAAATTGAACTCACCCTTTAGGACCTGGCTGAAATTTTACTTCCCCTAAAGCATCTTTTTTTTTGTCATGATATATTATTTATTTTTTTTTTAACATCTTTATTGGAGCATAATTGCTTTACAATGTTGTGTTAGTTCCTGCTGTATAATAAAGTGAATCAGCTATACATATACATATATCCCCATATCCCCTCCCTCTTGCGTCTCCCTCCCACCCTCCTTATCCCACCCCTCTAGGTGGTCACAAAGCACCGAGCCGATATCCCTGTGCCATGCGGCTGCTTCCCACTAGCTATCTACCTTACTACGTTTGTTAGTGTGTACATGTCCATGACTCTCTCTCGCCCTGTCACAGCTCACCCTTCCCCCTCCCCATATCCTCAAGTCCGTTCTCCAGTAGGTCTGTGTCTTTATTCCTGTCTTACCCCTAGGTTCTTCATGACATTTTTTTTCTTCTTAAATTCCATATATATGTGTTAGCATACGGTATTTGTCTTTTTCTTTCTGACTTACTTCACTCTGCATGACAGACTCTAGGTCTATCCACCTCATTACAAATAGCTCAATTTCGTTTCTTTTTATGGCTGAGTAATATTCCATTGTATATATGTGCCACATCTTCTTTATCCATTCATCCGATGATGGGCACTTAGGTTGCTTCCATGTCCTGGCTATTGTAAATAGAGCTGCAATGAACATTTTGGTACATGACTCTTTTTGAATTTTGGTTTTCTCAGGGTATATGCCCAGTAGTGGGATTGCTGGGTCATATGGTAGTTCTATTTGTAGTTTTTTAAGGAACCTCCATACTGTTCTCCATAGTGGCTGAACCAATTCACACTCCCACCAGCAGTGCAAGAGTGTTCCCTTTTCTCCACACCCTCTCCAGCATTTATTGTTTCTAGATTTTTTGATGATGGCCATTCTGACTGGTGTGAGATGATATCTCATTGTCGTTTTGATTTGCATTTCTCTAATGATTAATGATGTTGAGCATTCGTTCATGTGTTTGTTGGCAGTCTGTATATCTTCTTTGGAGAAATGTCTATTTAGGTCTTCTGCCCATTTTTGGATTGGGTTGTTTGTTTTTTTGTCCCCTAAAGCATCTTTTGACCCTCTTCTTGGCCCTGAAAAAAGTCACTTGCTCCACCCTCAGTGCTCCCATTACACAGATGGGGGTGACTATGCCATTTAAGACCATCTAGTTTATGAAGTCTTTTCATAATTTTTTTCAACTGATCACAAAGCATAAATTCACATTCCTTTTCCAACTCCTGGGGCCGGATGTCCTCCAGAGTTCAGGCCCGTGTGTTAGCTGCACCCCTCCCTAGGGGACAGGCAGCACTCCCATCAGACACATTGTTCCTGAAGCAAAAAGTAGGAATATTCACACTAAGTGGGTTGAACAGTGACCATATAAAAACCTCACTCCAGATTAGGTTTTGCCTCCAAATGAGTTATGAAAAAACGAAACTGCTAGTTTTCAGAGCTTTCTGGATTTTGGAGTGCAGATACGACTTCGGATTTGAATCCAGGTCTTTCAGACTCAGTTCAGGGTACTTTTTACTTATCACTGTTTTAAAGTCAGAATGTGTGTTGTCTCCCTACTAGGCTGTAAGCTCACGGAGGGCAGAGAACTTTTAGTCTTAACTCAGTGTTCAGCACAGCATCTGGGACCACAACAGTGCTGGAGAATGCTTCTTAAAGAAATTGTCCCGTTTTCCTCTTTAGTGAGAAAATGTGGTGCAAAAGCGACAGTCAGGGCGTCAGGGGAGGGGCTCACACCCCAAGGACTTAGCTACTGAGGCTGGTACTTGCTCTCCCTGGTCCTGGGCTGTTTAGGAAAATACCGCTGAACGATGGGTACAAATAAAAACGGAGATTATCCTTAAGGGAGTTCAATCTAAGCAAAAACCCATGCCTCTTTTCCTCACAGGAGAGTGCAGATCAAATTTGCAGTACGTTTGTAATTCTTAAAAATCTAGATGACCGTGGTCAGGATAAGAATACAGGTAGCTCTCAGTTCATAGATGAAGGGTAGAACATGGATTTGGAGTGAAACAGGTAGTCCTCGGTGTGAATCCTACCTCAGTCATCGACCAGCTAGCTGAACCTCACAGTACTCATCTGTGGAATGGGAGAACACTAGAAGTCAGCTCATGGATTAGGTGAGTTAATGGACATAAAGCACTTGCTAGAGTACCTGATACACAGTAGATGCTGAAGAAATGTTAGCTGTTGTCAGAGGTGGGAATATCCAAGGAAACCTCTGAAACAGCTGGCTATACCTCTGAAAAAAATCAATGAATCACTCAAAGGAAGACGGCAACTTTTCGGAAAATTCAAGTAAATTTAATTAAACAAATATTTATCAACAGTCCTATTAAGTGCCAGGGACTGTGCCAAGGGCTTTAAAGATGAAAAAAATAGTATCTCCTGCCCAGGAGATTGATGGCGTGGGGACTC